TCTGCAAAACGAAATTGTATTTCTGTCACTAGGAATTCTTTCTGTTGGATCTGGCCATTCAGTGATTAAGCTGCAATATTGAATATATTTAAATTCTGATTCCAGATACAGCCACAGCAAAAATGGTTAAGATTTAAAACTTACAGTTGGTACAGGCCAGAAAATAAATTCATTGTTGCTGCGGGCAGATGCAAGTTAGGCAGAACTCAATGGGAACTTACATTAAAGGTTAATTTTGGCCAAAGTCCTCACTGAGTACTAACATCTCTTGATACTTTCTCCAATACATCACTCCAATATATTTGCTTTGGAAAAATCTGTTTTGAAGCAGTAAAATCTGCAAGAGGGCAGATGGCATTAAGCAGACTTTAGAATACAAAAAGCTGAACACATTTCAGATCCTGAAACTGACGATTCCCTTCATAAAAGCTGTGAAATCCCTGTTACCCCACCTCAAATTACAGATGTAGCAATGTTTGTTATTAATTAACAAACAAAATTAATTAGTGTTGAAAGAGACATTGTTGGTATTAATGTTATTTTAAAAAATTATGGTTGTTTTAAAAATTGTCTCTTTAAACTTGTATAGTATACAAAAGGCCTTAAACCAGCCTCTGTATTGAAGCAGATAGCAGCTGTGCTATTGCATAAGCAAATATTGAATTCTGTACTTGTTGATTCAAAGATCAGACAGGCTTATTTGGCATAGCTAGCCATCTTCACAAGAAGGCTTTGATGCAAGGAGCATACAAATTAACAGGCTTTGTATGGAAATTCTATATTTGCTGATTTATTTCAGTTTTTCCCTCTTAAAACACTTATGAAATCAAAGGAGAAATATGACAGTTCAGTATTTAAAATATGTAAATCACACATATTTCTGAAGTTAAGGTTTTCTGAACGATTTTAGTTTGGCTATGCTTTACACATAAAATATTTTGTATACATTCTTTACTGGTAAATGAGTGAGTTGTATCCTGCGCATGGCCTAACATGTAGATGTATCAAAATTGATTCAATGACTCTTATGACTCTTTTCCCCACTGGGAAAGTTCTTGTTTATTATGATTTTCTTTGTAGCTAAGGAAAGCTCTTCACTTCTGTTTATATTTTTTGGTGAGCTATCGGAGGAAATCACTGGTGACAACACACGAAGTTCCATCTGCATTCTTCCTCACATACCTCATAAAGATTATCCAGCACATCTGTATGTCACTTTCCCCTCACAACAACCGCACTGCTAACCTGAAGTGAACCTCAAGTCTGAAAACATTTGATAATTGCGGCAGCATTTGCTCATTCATCAAATACTGTAATAGGACATACTTCCCTGAAATTCATGAATAAATGCTTTTTCATGATCACTGTACTGATCGTCTGGACTTTGAAACAGAATCTCAGAATCCCAGACGGTTTTGCATTGGCAGGGACCTCTGGGCCCATCTGGTCTAAGGCCTGTTCAAGCAGGGTGTCCAGGACCATGTCCAGGTAGTTTATGAAGATCTCCAAAAAGTACAACCTGTGCTCAGTCACCTGGACAGTGCAGAAGTGTTTGCAGACATTTAGAGGGAACCTCCTGTATTCCCATTTGCCTCTTTTCCTATCCCTGGGTACCACTGAAAAGAGCATTTTGTTTGCACCCTCCCTTTAGGTATTTACAGGCATTTATGAGATTCTGGATCTCCTTCATGCTGAGCAATCCTGCTCTTTCTGCCTTTTCTTGTAGGAGAGATTCTCCAGTCTTTTCATCACCTTAATGTACATTGGATTCTCTTCAGTATGTCCATGTCTCTGTATTACTGGGGAGCCCAGAACTGGCCACAGCACATCATGTCTAGCCTTTCCAGTGCTGAGCAGAAGTGAAGGATCACCTTCTCTGACATGCTATCAATGTTTTGCCTAATGAAGTCCATAATGCCACTAACTTTCTTTGTGACAATGCTAGTTCCTGTTTAGCTTGGTGTCTGCCAGGCTTTTTCATAGAGCTTTTTTTTAGCTGCGTGGTCCGCAGCACATAGTGGTGCCTGACAATGTTCCTCCCCAGATGTTTCTGGTGTTTCTCCCAAGGTAACATTTATATTGTTCTTTATTTTTATCATGAAGAAGGAGAAAATGGCTTGAAAGTTCTGAAATATCACATTGATTTTTTTTAGTAGAAAGGTCTGGAAGGAATAAAAAGTTTGTGTCTTGGGGTATAAGCATGCCTCTAATAGCAGCTGGGAGGAGACTCTCCTTGGAGCTAGCTATCCCACAACTTCCTGTCACCTTTTGCACCTTTCCTGAAGCAATCTGGCTCTCCTGCTGTCAGCACAAGTATCCTGAAGTGCTGGACAAGTGGCTGGAGCTTAGCTGGGCATTCATCCACTCCTTTGGGGTTGAGTGAAACAGGCCTTCCTTTTCCAAGAAGAAATTTGCTCATCTGAGATGTCAGGTTTTAGGAATGTGTGGATTACATAGGTACCAAATAGAAGATGACAGAACTGGCCAATTAATAGTATTAAAAAGCCATCTTTTTCTGACTACCATTTTGCAGATTTCCTTGCATGTTACTTTGATGCTCTGACTTTGGTTGCCTTCCTCCTTCTCCTCTAAGGAGAGGACATTGTTCTCACCTGTGTTAGAGCCAGCACATCTAGCTGGGTGCACAAACACAGGAAACAAGCTGAGGTGTGTTTGGATGCCTTCAGACCCAGACCTAATTTTAAAACCGAGTTTGCATTCTCTCAGGTTGAAAGTTAAACTAGTGAGAATAGTTAGCCATATATGAAATTACATCTTTTAGCCAGTGTCAGTCCTTCAAGCACAAGGGAAGTTACTCTGATCAGAGTGATCATCTTCTCCCTGCTGTCCATTCTCTGTAGTTCTGTTGTTGCTGTTTTTCAAGGCTTAATTGCCTTGTAAAGTTGTGTATGTGCAATCATATTGCTAATACAAAGAAAGCAATTGCAACAAATTAAAATGCATTTAAAATTAAATAGATGAAGCTCTAAAATGTATCATATAAATATTTCTTATATTATAATTATTTTTTCATGTTAATTGTGCAAAAATACATTCATGGAATAAATATATAATCATTCTAATAACAAAGTAGGCATATTTATATTATAATACAAATAATAGCTATTATGAACATGTATTAATATTGCTAATATGCCTTGTTCCTTTTTATTCCTTGGTGGGCTGTGGTTCTTTACTCTCTGTGCCAGTGCACTGTGCTCAATTCACATCTTGCCTGATATCAGGGATAGTAGGGGACTGATCTTTGGGATGCTGCGTAATTCAGTAGCCCGTTCTGTTTCAAACATTCATTCAAGATAAATGCCACTGTGAGGATCACAACTTGCTCTTCTGGTTTCCTTTTAAGAGATAACATTAAAGAAAATCCAAATCCTTGCTTTAGGTGATGCCCAACACACAAGTTTCTAACTGTTCGACAATAAGCTGTAGCAGTTTCACCTGAAGGCAGCACAGGAACAACAGCAAACACTTTGCTGCCTTCCTGCACGCTGGGAAGCAGGTTGGTGTTTTCTGTGCCCTACTCACTGACAGATCCACTTCAAAGCTTCCACCAGGCCTTCTGCAGAGATCAGCACCATCAGAATAGAACATAATCAAAGTCAGTATCATCTATGCAGAATTTTGACTGACTCTTCCCACATGAGAAAAGTAGCTGTCCATACAGGTTGGTATATGGCAACCTTGCTTCAGCTCCAACTTTCAAGCAGCAGTGGGATAAACCAGGCTGCCATCACGATCCAGACCTCCAGGAGTTGACATGTCTCTTATTTCTCTCTCCAGAGCACGCAGTCCCAACTCTCAAACAGCTGCTGGCATCCAAGCTGCAAAGGCAACAGACCTCATCATGGGGAAGACAGCAATGGCTAGTGTGCCTCTCTCATCCATAACACTGGGACCACAGCTGCCAAGGCAGTACAGGAACCAAGTTGATGGTGACTCACCCAGGCAGGAGGAGTGCAAACCATGCTCACAGAGACCAAGTGACAAGTGACATACGGTAACAGTGTACTGGGGGAGGAAGAGGTAGATACCATCTGATCTACTGTCTGCCAGAAGGAAAAGCTCGCAACACGGGCGGAGAAGCTCTCCTCCAGTCCCTCAGTGAGGAAACCATTCCCAAGCATGTCATCTACGCTACGTGGATCATAGGAGAGAGAGAGACAAGTTGGCAGGAGATAAGAAGGAAAGGGTGTCAGGAACATCTGGTGCACCCACATCAGGCAGAGAGCTTGTTTGTTTGGGCTGAAGTGCTGGGTGCAGAACAGTCTCACCAGCCTTTGCCATAGGAGCTTCTTCTGCAACCTTCAGAGATAGACTGGGTGGGCAAACCCCTCTGAGCCAAGAAATAACCATAAAAGCTCTTGGGGAAGAAGTGGACGAGGCATGTGGGTGGGAGACATGCTTTGGTGGCAGGCAGAGAAGTGTGGGTGTGCTGCTTTGTTACTGCAGTGCCACCAACAGCCCATCAGCGGTGGATGGATGGTGAGCTTTCTTGGGGAAAGCTGTAAGGCCCACACCTTCATGCCAGCAACCTGAGGTGGAGTGGGTACGGCTCACACAAGTGCCTCAGTAAGGAGTATTGGAACAGGCTGCACAGGGAGGTGGTGGAGTCACTGCCCCTAAGCAAGAAATGCGTGGATGTGGCACTGAGGGGCATTGTTAGCAGGCACGGTGGAGGAGGGCTGACTGTTGAAGTAGACGATCTTAGCAGTCTTTTCCAACATTAACGACTTTATGATCCTAAGAGGAGAAAGACGGGATAAAGAAAGTAAAAGCTGAATGACATATTTATTCCTCCGACCAGTTAAAAAAACGATCGATTAGAGAAAGAAAAAGAAAGGCAAGACGAGACGCGGCCTCCCATCCCGGCCCTGCACCTGCTCCCCGCAGCCGGGGGCCGCCGTGCGCCTGCGCGCAGGGACCGATGCTCCGCGGCCGCCGCGCCGCGCCCCCCCCGCCTCCTCCCCGCCCGCCTCCGCCTCCGCGCCCTCCTCCCTGCCCGCGGGGCACGGGAGCCGGTGACGGGAGCGAGGCGGAGTCTAGAGGGAAGATACCGAGAGATAGAGATTTAAATCACATCCCCGGCTGTAGAAGGGCAGCAGCAGCAGCAGCCCCGGCGCAGAGGCACGGACGCAAGCACCGAGGACAGGTCTGCCGGCTCCGCCGCTGCTGCTGCTGCTCGCCATGGGTGCCGCCGCCGCCGAGCCCCCCCGCGCCGCGGGCCTGGTGTCCAGCGTGCTGAACGACACGCTCGAGTTCTACCGCTGGACCTGGAGCATCCGAGGTAACGCGCCAGGCCGTGTCCCGCGCCCACTGCCCCGAGCCCCCGCCGCAGCGCCGCCGTCGCCATCGACTCTCCGCGCCCCCCGCCCGCGGGCACTGTCGCGCTCAAAATGGCTCCGTTGCCACGGCGACGCGGCGCGGCCGAGGGGTCGGGACCGGCTCCTGCCGGGGTGCCCGGGCGCGTCCTCTGAAGGCGCGGGGGTTCGCGATCCGCTTTAATCCCCCGAGGCACGGGCGGTCTCGGAGCCGCGAGGTGAAGGGCTGCCCACGGGCCGGGGGTGCCGCTTCTCTGGCCGCGAACCTTGCAGCGGAGCCTCCCCGGGCGGCCGCGTTCTTCTGGGGTCCCTCGGTTCCCTCCGGAGCTCCGGCGACCCGGGACGTGTGCGGCAGCCGGGAGCCCTCTGACAGCATCCCTCGCGCTTTGCAAATGGTGGAGTTCAGCGATTCGGCGAGGAAATGGCTGTTACCATCGCTGCGGCAGCGTTTCGCTTTGTATTAAGTGCATCGGGGGTCGTTCTGCTGTATTCCGATTTCAGTGTGCTCAGTTTTCATATTGACACCCAGCATGGAAGATGCTGAAGGAAGAGGAAATGCCTTGAGAGTCGGTATGGGGGCAGCAGATGAGGCAGTAAGTCACCAGCTGACAGGTAGCTCTGCAGGTACTGCTGCGTGTCAATGGCGGCCTCAAGCTGGTCAGTGAAACGAGTAGGGTAGAGTTTCTGTTCATTGCTGCCATGAGTGGGCCTGCGCAGCTGACAGAACAATAGCACCTCTCTGGATGTTTCCATCGTGTTTTAGTTGACTGCACAGTGATGAGCTCTAGACTAGTTAGATGTAAGCCTACAATTGCATGGAGCACTCTGGAGCAAATGTTTGTGGCAGGCTGCTAACGGGAAGCGTGCAGCCTTGGTTTGGGCCGGGAGCTCCTACTGCATCAGTAGTCGTTGCTTCTCTGCCCCCCTCTGTTTTGCCATCTGCCAAATAACAAACTGATCTTATGTCATAGTGCAGAGGCTTGCTTTTTTCCTCCTGAGCTGCTTTCCCAGTCTATCCACTGGGTCTTACCGTATTTTAAAAATTATTAAACCTATATACATATTCGTTTCGTCTTTACTTGAGCCTGTGAGAATATGAGATCAAATGAAAATGCTTGCAGCAGCAGTAAGTTGTCAGCTGTCAGTGCCTGCTCTGCCTCTTGCTGCATACAGTTTTTGTAGGTTCCCAAGTAATGCATTCCAGCCCATTAAGAGCATTTTTGGGTGGACGTAAATATAAATATGGTTACTAAGTTGATATCCTTATATCCTTACTTGCTTTGTTTGGAAGAGAGTTTCAAGTTCTCATATATTTCCTAAACTTCAAATGCTTTATTTAAATCTGTATACAGACTATGTGTGTTGTAAGGAAAAGAAGGGAAGTATGAAAAAAATGAAGTTTGTCTAAGGAAGGTAAAGATAAGTTACTTACATTGGCACTACATGTTGAGCAAACTTTTGTTTCCTCTTTCGCTACTTAAGAGCACCTTAAGTGGTAGGATGTTCTTGTGATGCTTGTAGAGCATGCTCAAGTCCTTGCTAATCCTATGCAAAACTTTTAAGTTATTACACTAAGATCAGTAGCGTTGCTGTTAATGCAGGAATCCTCTATAATGAAGTGCATTAACTGCATTTGGCATAAGGGACTGAGAGTTTTTGTTCGTGTTCTGAATTTCGTGGTTCCATGCAAGGACAGTTTTGGACAGAGCCTAAGTCACATTGTACTCATATTACCACCCTTGTTTATACCCAGCAGTCTGTAAAAACAAGGTCCTGCTGTACTTACGACCAGGTGTGGGTATGTGAAATGTAGCATCATACCATGCAATTACCATGTAGCTCTGGATAAGAAAGTGCCATTATTGCTATCTAATAAAATCATCTTTTAATGTCAAAGTTTGGCTAAAATACTCTCTCAGTTTGCAGCTTTTCTGCATGCGTCTTCATTCAGAACAAGGTATTGTATCCATTTGTCATCTTTGAGTGAATGTGCGCTAAGATCATGAATTTCACGCTGTTATGTGAATTCACCTTTGTGTCAAGAGTGGCAGTGATGTTGCTCAACAGCCAACACAAATTATGGCATGCAAGACCATTGCCTAACATTCAATATCATTAAATAAAAAACTATACCACGCAGCAAAGTTGCTCAAGAAATGATGCCATGCAATAGCATTACACAATAAATCATACTGAAACACTACTACACAGCAAAATTACACAATGAAATGTGAAGAAATTTTATTCCCACTACAACTCCTACACAAAGGCTTCTCATTCATATAAAACCAAAATTATTTGTTCTCCAATACTTGCTTCCATCTTCTGCTGGATGCCTAGATCTGTCTTTCTCTCTGATCTCAATGCACAAATAGATTGTCTTGCCAGCAGATGTTTTCCTCTGTTGTCCCATACTCCTGTGATAGGACTGTATGTAACTGCCAGAATATCCCACTGAGTACTGTGTTGCTTCAGTTTTATGCAGTAAAGATTCGGTCTTTTTCCACCTTGCTCTGTGATGTTTAAAAAGCAGCCAACCCTTTCTGAGGTCAAAAAGATATCTGATAAATCCTGTTTCTTTTGTTTGCTTGTTTGTTTTTTAATATGTCACAGATTTTAGTATTAAGCATTCTATCCAAAGCAATTGCCATTGGGCTTGGAGTTTTTTTTCTTCTTGTTTTTTTTTTTTTTTTTTTTTTTGTTTGTTTGTTTGTTTGTTTTTGGCTTTGTGTTTAATCTTGTATGGTTAACAACAGTCTGCCTTTTCCTCCATATTTATTATTCAAATATATTTTCAGCCTTAGCAATACTTAAATGTGTTTTTACTCTTGCTAATTTATTTAAAATACACATTTTCTTCTTCTCTTCTTTGACAGTCTTTTTAAACACCTCTTCATGAAAACCTAAAATCCATTGTCAGTGTATCTGCATCTGAGAAGGCTGAAGCAGATCATTTAGGAAGCCACACATTTTAAGGGGGGCAGAAATGGCAAAAACATTATCAACATTACCAAGGGATAAAAAAAGGTTGTTGGGGGAACAATTATTATCAGGAAAGATGATCTAGGAAATTCCATGCCATTATTCCTGTAAGGGCATGGGAGCAGGAATGTGTAATAGATAGGGCAGGGCTTCTTTCTTCTGGCTCAGATAGCTGGTTGGGGTTAGATCTGGGCAGGAAGGATTAAGGGTATGATTAGATGACTGAGCAAATGACTTAAAGGGAGGTTCCAGGCTGAGTCCAGGAGAACTATTAAGATGAATAACTCAGGACAAAATCCAAGAAAGAATGTGGAAATCTCAAAACATGGTTGAAGAGACTGTTGACACTTAGGGAGGAGGAGTAGGAAACTGGCCTGAAAAGGAAGTGTGTGAAACCCATTATCAAAAAGAGGTATTTTAGGGGAATGAGTTAATTTGAATGTGCTGAGCTAAATAACAGAAGGATTTACGGACTTTGGGTGAGAATTATTGTTCTTGGAACTCCAAGTTAAAAGAAGGCAGGGCTAGCCCAGGCCATGTGCGACTGCTTTGGAACAGCACTTATTTACAGCTGTTGCAGTTAATAAGATTAGAGTTTTTCCATCAAGAGGAAAGAGAGGCAAAAGATGCTGCTTAGAGAACCAGTGGAAGTTTACACCTTATTCAGGAGTGACATCAACTGTATCAGTTGGGCCAGAAGAGTAAGGGCATGAGGATAGGGAATATGGGGGAAACTCACAGCTACTTGCGTTTACAGTGATCTGGTGGAGCTGCTGTCATGGAACTCTAATTGCTGTAAAATCTTGTGCTGGGAAGGTCTTGAGACTACAGCCTTATGTGAGGAATCTATCCTAGTTTGTTTTTCAGCCCATGGAAAAGAACTGGAAGAAAGCACGTTTCTTCTTCTTCCCTTATTCTTTACGCCATGGAGAAAGTGAAAATGGCCAAATGATACTGGATATTTATGCCTGGAGAAAGTTCATTGAGGTGGTTGGCAGAACAATTCATTTATCTGAGTGAAAGCAGTATATTGTTGTATTGGAGTATTTGTGCCAGAGCTGGAAGCCAGAAGCATCATGATGAAAGTTCTTCAGAAACTGAAGGTGGGGAGAGAGAGAGAAGAATGAGACAAAAATTCTTGCAGTCTGCTTCACACAAGGGAAACAGAATGTGCTCCTAAGTTTTTGGAGCATCAGACTTGGTGATTTGGACGATACTTGATTTGCAAATGCAATTTTCTTCTCAAATAAACAGTTTTTTGATCTGTGACCATGACTGTAAAACAAGGATTAGGCGTGGGAAGACTTAGACTTCCTTGTAAAGCAGGGAAGACCAATGCCAGAAACTATAGAACTGGGTAAGTGTAATTGGGTTTGGCTGCCTTGGGGCAGAAGCAGCACTTAGAGAAGTTGATTGCAGAAGTAAAGAATGCTGAATGTGAATCCACTGTCAACCAAACCAAAGAATAGAGCATCCCAATTTGCTTCATTTGCATTTCATTAAGCATCCTTCTTAACTGCCAGTGAAGGAACTTATTTGATGTAAAAAAAACCAGCTATTGCTTTTTTTTGGGGGGGGAGTTTTTTGCTGGGTGTTTGAGGGAAGTTTCACCCACGTTTCATCACCAGAAGATATCAAGTTGCAGAACTCAAAGGAGAGCTAATCAGAGCAAAACAGGTGCAAGAACATTTGGAAATGGAGCATAATTCAGAAAAGTGTGTTCCTGAAGTGGAAGCTCCCATTCAGAGGTTTTGGATCACCAACCTTGAAGAAGTGGAGCCTTAGGGAGTAGCCTGAAGCAAGGCTAATGATGTGAGCAAGAAGCTGAGTTGTAAAAGGAAGACTCCTCTTTCATAAAATGAAGAAGTGATAAATTGCAAGTCAGCTCCAGCAGAGAGATGAAACAAGAAAAAGGCCTTCAGAGCACCTATAAGAATGTGATACAAAGTTCTGTTTGATTTATGAAGTTAGTGTTAAATAAGAC